ATGTTCACAAAAAATATAGATCTCCTTCAAAAGGCAACCTCTTAGAAATGTCGTCAATAGATAAAATTCACTATAATTATTTTCTAATAGATAATGGAATAAATATAATCTAATTTCAATTAGAAAACAGCTATTTACAATAAAGAGATTTAAAAGCAATAGAACTGTAATTTTTCTTTCACAATCAGCTGCTTTCTGTGTATTTTTCATGTTATGTAACTGATATCCATGTCATGAAAAATATACAGCAAATGCAAGACAAATTATTAAAAAATTAAAATTTGAAACATTAATACTAATTTTCTCTTACTTTACATATTATTAATTAATGATGAATTTATATAATATGTAGACTTAGAATCTAAAAACTATGAACTTTGAAACTGATGACTCTTATAAATACATATTTATGTAGTTAAATTTTACTAGATGTTATTTGCAGTTTTTTGTAATCTTCACAATAATAAAATGCTACATATTTATTACTATAGTTTGAAGGGATTGTAGTTAAATTTGTAGATATGTTACTTTTAAGAGTTGTTCCATCCCCTCCAAATAAATAAAATGAAAATTAAAAATGCTATTTCAAATTGCTGTAGTTGGAAAGATTAAGAGGTTACATTTGGAATTCATTTTCTGACAGGGTGTTAGCTGGCAGCTTTAATTTATTCAGAAATGTTAAAAGAAAATATCTCTAGAAAATCGCCAAATTATAATTGTTACATTCAAAAAAGCTTTCAATGAGAAATATGTTTAAAATTTGACAATAAGCTCAGTCTAGAGTAAAGAATAAAATATCTCTTAGCCAAGTTATTATGCTAAACTGTTTTAATATTCCTAAACTAAAAAGGAACTAAAGGAAAAACTAAAAAGAAAGAAAATAAAATTCAAGTGTTTTTTAATTAAAAAGTTAACAGTTTTAGTAATGAAACATAATTATATTTAATTTCAGCCATACTACCTTGAAAATAGAACGCGAGAAACTCTACAATGATATTTTTTATTTTTCATATACACATGCCAAAGTTAATAAGTAAATAAATAATAAAATGCAATTTCAGATTTATCATCGAAACGTTATAGCTAATCAAACAGAGTGCAGAAAGTTTGCTTTCAACCTAATAAATTAAACAAATAGTGATAAAATATAGACATATAATTCAGATCTGAATACTACATTTATTATAATTAAAATTATAAATATAGTTTTTAGCAGGGGCGTAGCTAGAGGGAGGCATCTGTCCCCGGGCGCAGAATCCAAATGATGTTAGGACATTTTAGAATTAAATGTTTTCCCATCCTTGGCAAGCAGTAAGGGGGTGTGAAATCCTCAGTTGTCCCTGGGCACTGAAAACCTTAGCTACAACTCTGGTTTTTAGAATTAAAAAAAACCGCAAGTCCCTTTGGATTATGTTCGCTTTTATCAGCGTGCGCTTTCATCTCTGTGGGTATTTGTCGCATGGGCAATTATCATAGTGGGCTTTTGTCTGGGAACCATATAAATATGCAGTTTTTTAAATTTGCAATTATGTTTACACTTGTTTTGTATGCAACGAAGCAAAATTAAGAAATATTTATATATTCTTGAGATATGTCAAAATTTATAGTATTTACTGTATATTTTTCTATTATTGCATCCAAAATCTAAAAATAAAAAGTAACAATTCAACTTCTAATTAATATTACTAAAATCTTACGCTTCAGAGCATGCATCAGATTATATGAAACATGTATAGAAGGTATCATTTAATTTTATCCATAAAATTTTGAGTTATGGCTGTTACCATTGGCAATATTTACAGAAAACAAGTTTAAAGTTTTCATAAAACAATTTCGTAGTGAAAGAAGCATCCCTGATAATTAAAATTCCCCTGCTTTGTAACGCACACCTTGTTTTTTTCTTCACACAATTTGCACTTTTTCTTTCGAGAAAGCGTAATTTTTTTCCTTTGTGTTTTTGTAAAACTTGTAGAATGCCGCCAAGAGTCATGATTTTGCACTTTATAAAGATTTCGAATTCCCTGCTCAGTGTAAAATCCAGGACACATACCTAACCTTGAAAATGCTTCAAGCAAACCTATAAATCCATCATTAAATAACATGAAATAACACAACACTTACATTTGCTCCAAAGATTAATGTTCGCAAGCTGATGATTATGAATTTTTCTTTCGGAACAATTTGCAATAAAATGCCATTAAAACATTCCTTGATATTTTGAGTTTTTGCCATGAATGCACCTTTTTAATAACTCTTGTTTATGTAGTCAACTCCATATATGTAGGTTTAATTAAATTCAAAATATATGTTGTATATACCAGAAGTTTCTGCCTGATTTTTTCCCCGATTTCTGCAATGCATATTCATAGTTGCACAAACTCATTGATTGAGGAGGGCATTGGCTTCGAAGAAGTGCTACAATGGAACAAGCAGCTAGTACAACCTGCTGCATCACAATTCAATTTCCAACATTACTTCTAACTGCAATCCCTAATTCTGCAGTCTATCAATAAAAGAATCAGTCAGTTTACCTTTTCCTTTCAATTCAGAAGCAGAATTTTTTACTTTTCATAGTCTACTACCAACCCTTCTCTGTACATGTCCAATGCATTCCAGTTCCTTGACCGAATCTTTACCATATATATCTTTCACAATTAAAAACCCCTTAGAATCCCCATCCTCATAATACTCCGTGTACTTCAGCTTTCGTAATGTAACAGATCATTCAAACAGCGGATAAGCACCAACTGCTTCCATACCTGAAGCTGCTTCTTCATAATTCGCAGAGCAGTTATGTTACGCTTTACATATGTCATGCTGAAGATTACATACTATTCTGTTTATTTTGTTGGAAATGATGCAAAAATGTGACATAGCTTTCAAATCGAGCACTTTGTCAACGCTAATCGACAAAGCAGCAACACATCCATTCAACGTCGAATACCCTCTGCGCCAAACTAAATATGAAATTAAGAGAAAAAACTATCCCCAGATTCTTAAAATGTATTACAAAATATCTAAACTTAGTACGCAGGTTTATAATTTACAAAATATTGACGATAAGTAAAGTTTTTAAATAGGTATATCTATATTTAAACGCTCACTTCCGGCCCAGAATAATGGAACTTCCGGTTTATTCTGTTACCGAAAAATGCTTATAACTTCAGTTCTAATTAATCTATCAACAAGCAAAAACTTTTATTTGATAGCTAAAGATGTATTCTTTAAGATAATGTAATAAAGTAAAAATCGAAATTTTGACCAAAAATCGTCTTTTGTACTAGGTTGGATACCTTAATGTCCTGTTGACTAAATGTCGTTGCCGGCTGTGTCACGGACCTATGTTGTGAGTTATGCAAATTTTATATTCCCAAAATTATTCCGTCACATTATAGCACTGGTAAGAGTTGTTTAAAAGCAAAATTTAACAGAAAAGAATCAATTGGCAAACTTTAAATTTTAGTATGTCTTCTTGACGTCACTTAGATGATTTCGATGTGGCCTTATTATTGACAAGATAGAAGAATACTGAAATATAACACATGATTTAGGGAACCAGATGGTTGTTCTTTGGAAATTATTTCAAACAAATGGAATGCATAGCAAATGTCAGAGGAGGTCATGTTTGCAGTACAATGCCTACAGAAGATAGGTACATAGGGATATTAACAAAAAAGAACTGGAGCAGCACAGCAAATCCCGAAAAACTGTAACCAAACGCTCGTATAAATCCGTCATCCTGTTGTCTGCATTCTACTGTCCAAACGTCACTGTTCCTCCCATTTGCAATGGTGCCGTCAGCACTGCAATTGGAGGGAGGACGATTGGGCTCATGTACCATTCTCATGTAAAAGTTCAGTCTTGCCCGACTGTAGACAACTTATGTGGTAAGAGTAGTACCACACACAGTCTAGCAAACATCCAGGAAAGGAATCGGTATCTTTGTCATGGTATGGGGGCAGGAGGCTAGGGTTGGCCAATGCTACATTAACAATGTTCTGCTACCTCATACTGCTTAGTGATAAAATCTGCTTTCATGGAGAAAAACGCAATATGTCAATCACTGTCCAATGTTTACAGAAGGAGGATATTAGATGCCTTGTATGGCCAATACATTCTTTGGATCTGAATACCATTAAAAATGTTTTGGATGCTTCGAGAACTCTTGCTGGTCAACAATGTCCTCCCATAAACAAGAACACCCTCATCTGTGCACTTACAAAGAAATGGGATAAATTACCTGAACAGGTGGTGGATGATGTCATACAAAGCATGGCATCTCTATATAATGGCCATATTCTGTTAATATGTCACATCAGAATGCCTGCAGATAATTACATTTTTACGTATTTAGCAATAAAATGATCATTTTGTCCCTTGAACATTTTCCAAACCCTTTTTGATTTCAGAGTGCAATAAATTATCTTCACTGTTATGTGCTAGCATTATTTTATTTTACTTGGCATCCAATTACATTTACTTTATATGCACTATACAGTAATTTGCGATCTGTCCTTAGCACCTGCCCCCCAGTGTATGTACTACTGGGTGAATAAACTTAGCAATGTGCCATTTACTGATGCAAAGCAAAATTCAATGCAAATATCAGACACCTAAACATTATCTGAATCTTCAACAAATATCTACAACAGATTCAGGCAAAGAAGATGAAATAAAATTTAATCTACTAAATGGTAAAAGTCACACTAGGGATGGCAGAATGAAATTTGCACAATTTTTTAGTTTCATTAATTTAATAAATTTCATTTATGGCTGAAAATGCTCTTAATAGTAAAAGCTAAAAATCAGGAAATTCAGTAATCTCAGGAAGAGTTGGCAACTATGAAGTACATTATTAAGAATGAAAACAACCTTTTTGTAGTCTGCACTATATAATATTGAGAGTACTGATAAGTATTTGGCACCACTTGAGATGATACTAAGATCGACATGGCGGACTTACACATTTTAAAAATTCAGATAAAACAAACTACACTAAATATAAATAAAAAATATTTAATCAATCATCTTTGTTGTACAGATTCCAACTTTACAAAGGAAAGCACTTAACTTTATACTGATTATTGGTATTCTGCACTGAAATGTGCTCAGCCCACAGCAGAAAAACAGGCACCAAATCGGAAAAAATGAAACAGAACTAGAAGTTAAAAACAGAACTTTTAAATGAAATTAAGTAATACCCCAAAATCATAAGTTGTAATAAATATAATATCAAAGATCGCCGAAGCAAGTTTTCTTATCAATAATGGATAGAAAGAAAAGTATATTTTTGCTGCCTCAATGATTAATTAAATGTTTTATCAAGAAATAAATACAGTATTAAAAAGAGTCATTTTTAATATTTAAACTTTGAAGCTTTTGTTGACAAATGCCACACAGTAATCTATAACTGGCGATAATACCGCACTTTATACCTATTGGTTTAATACTGTGTTTTCTGTCACAAATTCTCAAAGTTTAAATGATCCTATGCAAGTAAATTCATACAAATTGTTCGAAAATGCAGTTAAATTTTTTTCACTTGAACATTCTATTCATGATTCAGAATTTGAGCACAGCAAGCATGCACCCAACTTTCATACACTAATTTGAAGTAACCTCAGATTAAGTCTGCTACATTCAAAGGCATCTCTTCTATTTGTGTGTTATAAAATTGTTCTATATCACGAAGAGATCTTTTATCATCTTCTGTAATGAAATTTATCGCAACACCTTTACGTCCAAATCGACCACCTCTTCCAATCCTGAAAATATATTAAATATTATTAATAAAACATGTATATTAAATCAGATGTTTTTAAACACACTAAAGATATTTTTAATAATAAATACAACACCTCATCTAACCCTAGAAAATATTTTAAATATTAACAAAAGATGCAAATAAGTGTTTTTAAAGTTCTTTAAACACATTTAAGTTTATATATATAATACAACATGCAACCATTAAATTTTCAGAATTTATATAACTGGACAGAGCCTGTTAATTGTCAGAACATGGAAAGTAGTTTATCTGCTTATGTCCAATGAAGTCAGCACCATTCAGAAGCAAGTAGTTGTCCTTGAAACATGCATTAACCCATTAACTGCCAAAACTACAAGGAATGTTTCTTTTCTCATGAAAATAATAACAAATATCAAATTAAGCATTTACAACAAATTTACATTGAAAATAAAAAAAAAAGCTCTTGTGGAAAAAGCGAGTGTTGCGTTCGCGCAACGTCAGCAGAATAAGACTACGGATGTTTAGTGAGTTGGATTGTACTCGTGTGATGTTTCTTTTGAGTGGAGTGCAGGATTACTTTTTAGCTGTATAATGTTTTATAAATCTACAAATCACTTTACTTGTAATTAATTTAATATTAAAATATACATTGTATTTCTTTTACAAATACAGATTATTTCAACTGAAAGATTCAAGGATGAAAAGCTTGATATCAATCATGATGTAAAGCTACATTACATACTTTGCATCTAGAAACAGTCTGGCTATGGCACTCTTTACAACAAAGTCTTTTTGTTATCAACAGACTTTACGATAAAATGTCTACCATCTCCATGCAATGGTTTTTTAATGCTGAATTTACTGGGTCTTCCTGTTGCTGATCTATTTCTGGCTGATTCTACACTCTCAATAGGAGTTCGCAAAAGGAATAATGCATTCTCGCGTCTGAAATCTAAAAGAGACTTTACATTTCCAGTAGTAAAAAGTGGTGATATTTAGTAAGTTTAGATACGGTCTCACCTCATATAATTTATCAGTATTGTCAATTTGACAATTGTCAAATTCAAATTCTGCTTCATATTCCTGTGCTGCAAACGTGATATCGATTTTCGTACAACAGGAATAGAAATGTCCTTATCAAAAGACCAATAAATTTTTTCTTGAGGTAAAGAATGATATCCTGTAAGCAATAATATTCCAATAAATCTTCTCATACAGGCTTCAGATACAATAAATTCTTGGCACATTTCCCCCCTTTTTTCAGCTGAGCGTATATATTTGTCCGTTCAACGAGAAGAGAGTAAATGTCTAAACCAAAATGAAAATTTTGTATTTAATATACTTAAGAGCTCACAAGATTGTGCTCTACCATTTGCGCTAAAAAGACATGCCACGCACGTCGAGATGCTTTTGTCTCAAACCACGAGTGTCGTGAACACGACGTCGATAGGCATTTATCGCAAAAATTAAAATAATGTGGTGCACATGTCACCTAACAACGAGATTGTTTATTTCTCGAGTTACAGTTCTGGATTGCACTTGCAGATGCGGAGCAGCGTAAATGAGACACTTTACCGCTTGTTATATTGTAGTGCACGGCACCGCAACTGTGTATTGTAACGAAGTGGTTAAGAGTCAATGGCACTACCTTAAATTCTATTTTTATCTCTACATAACAGCTGTAATTTCACAGGCAAAAGGCACAATGCTGCCATCAGCAACAGTGAATTAAAGACATAATTAAAAACCACAATAGATTAGGTATCAGCCAGAAGACTAGGGATGTCATGAAATTAGGAGAATAAAACCTGAAAAATCACAAATCTTTATTAAAAACAGGATAATCACCCCATCTTTTGACTTGGGAGTCCCATTTCATTGCAGGAAAGAAGTTAAACTCACAAATCCTGCACCACAGAAACATGGCAGAATAAAAGAGGCATAAGGTAATTTGGCTTTGCAGTTAGCTATAAGGAATATATGCCGAACTCTGTTGCTAAGGAACTGGACATTGGCTACATAACAAAAACTGGTATAGAGATTCTCAGAGTTATACCTAATATCAGAACTCACCAACCAAAGCAAGACAAAAAAACCACTGACATTCAGTTGACAGTTTTGTTGCTGAGTGAACAGCACGTTTATGCTTTTCCTTCCCTGGATGGCAATGTGAACAGACTTAATGGCACCTTAGGATTATGACAATAGACAGCTAGACCATCATGTTAGTGTTTCCTAACAAAAAAAGGACTCTTAGCATTAACAAATGCATATACAGTCAGAAGTCGTTAATTCGGGCGCCCATAATCCGGACGTCAAAGCTACGAACTTTCTGCGCATGCGTCGCGTCGACGCATGAGCGTTTACATGTGCGCGTAAGACCTTTACGGCTGCGAATATGCGTGTGCGCATAATACGTTTACGCATGCGTGCTTAATGTATAACGGACGGTATAAGCTAAGCTAAAAATATCTATTTCAGTTAATGTTGCAGATTGTGTTATTCCTTAATCTTTTAATTGGATCCGGCTTATTATTTTTTGCAGACCGTTACAGCAATTTTATAAAAGTAAGCTTGAACTTTCGATTATGTCAAAAAAAAATTCCGATTCCGGAGCTGCCAAAGGATCTACAAAGCGAAAGCAAGTTTCGATGTCCATTAAACAAAAAGTGGAATTCCTGCAAAAAAATGGATAAAGGCATATCCTTTGTTTTTCTAAATATTTCAAAATCTGTTTTATCAATTTCATGCTGCTCTTGGGGGGGGGGACGACTTCACGGCGCACAATGAACTGGAAGTTGATCTGTCAGCACTATCCTTATCTTCAGGGCAGATGTTTTTGTTTTATTCGGCTTTTAATTCCTTACTAAATGTAGTATTCATACCTGCCAACCTCTAAAAATAAAAATTCAGAAGATTTCTCCCCGAAATTTAGAAGAACACGAAGAATTAATATTATGCTTTGATATTGAAAAAATAACAATTTATACAAATAGAAAAAAGAAAATTATACTTACATTAGTAAATCTCAGTTAAGTAGTAACTAAAAAATTTATTAGGAAACATAAAACAAGAACTTAATGTTACACAAAAAAAATTATTGCAATGAATTTAGAGTGCATTTTTTGGCTTTAGCCAAAAATTCTTTAGAAAATTCCTGTCATAACAATTAGTTTCCTCATAACATTTAGCAATTAAAATGTTTTCTAGAGTTTTTGGTGAAATTGAAGAACGAAACATAGTTTTGTTTTTCTTTACAACACTGAAGACTCTCTCGCACTCAGCATTACTGTGTGGAATTACGAGAATAGCACATAAAAACTCTTGCTAGTCTATCATATTTTGGTGCTCCATGAACTCTTTTTATTCTTTTTAAGGCACCCATGAGGACATCAAGTCTATCTTCTCCAGAACTGGCAAAGTCTTCAAACTGTGCAGCAGAAAATTGGTTCTGTAGTTCATCTAAAGCATCATTATGGCATTCATTTTCTTTAATTGTTAACAAAAATAGAAATTTATCAACAAAAAAAAAAAAAAAAAACGAATCTTTTCAAAAGATGAAACATCCATCTGAAAAGTTGACCGGCATGATCGGCAGCGCTTAGCGGCATGCTGTGTTCGATGACGAATGCAGTAAACAAACACTCTGCCAAAATGACATTGGCATCCGAATGCATAGCCGAATTTGAAAAAAAAATCATCCACTTTCTTTGACGTTGTCGAAGCATTAACTTCATGATTTTTAGACTTAACATGCTTCACAATGTCGATTCTTCCACCGTGACTTATTATGAAGGCGCACACGTTGCAACAATGCATAGTTATTTCCTTTGAAGGATTCTTTAATTGTTGGAAATTCGGCTTTGTAGGCAGGCCGAAACTATTGAGAATACGGATTTCTTGAACTCATTTTGTAAAAACGACGTATTAAGAAAATTCGTAGCACGTGCAAACAAAAAAACAAACAACAACAACAACAAAAAATAAATAAATAAATAAAACAGAATGCACGCAATCGCTCATGCTTCGAGCTGAGTAATTCCCTTGCTGCTGAAGCGAACGCGAAAAAAATAATCTGGCGCCCACGAAGAAAGGAGCGGGAGAAACAAGTTCAGCGTATTCGATTAGCTGGTAAGCGGCGAGTTAGGAGAAACCGCAGGTTACTGGATTCGAAGTAGTCGGTAGTTGGCGGTAAAACACGATGCAACTGACGAAAATCGCTGAATTGGCAAAAAATTCTAAAATTTCGACCAAAAATCACTAAAAACACTCGAAAAAGGAATAAAATCATAAAAAATGGATTACGATCGTAAAATCGTAAAGACAAACGCATTTTCGTAAAAATTAGGAAAAATTCGTAAAAGTTGGCAGGTATGAGTATTTCATCTCAATGTACTCCGTCTTTGATATGATTTAAATCAAGTTTCTTGTCATTATAATTCTCTTTTGATAGTGAAGAAAGTGACACAGAGGTTATTGAAAACGAAGAAAATTTTGATTGATAAATTAGTCAGTATTTTCAACTCAGCAATTATAGGACTTGAACAGCGGAACTTTGTTACTAAACAAGAAGTTATGTCTGTTTAATAGAATTAAAGAGAAAGTATTATCTCATAAAACGAAGCAATTTAAGCAACTTACATTGAAAGAAATGTTTAATAAAGTAAACAAATAAATATTAAGCTTTTTCTTTTTGTAAAAATTGTTCTTTATTTCATAAATTACGGTTTCATATTTTTATTTTTATAATTTCTGCATGCCATCTTACCAGATTTAAACTGACGAGTCCGGATTAACGACTTTTGACTGTATTACATATATTCAAACTTTACCTGATGATCCAGCCCTCTGAATTTAAGTGCAGATATATTTTAACTTTATGCTGTTAAAAGTATGATGGTAATTTACAGCTAAATATATTTAGAATTACATGTTAACTTACCTGTGAATGTAATTTTCTCTGTTAGTTGGAAGATCATAATTAATAACCAAAGATACTTGTTGAACATCAATACCTCGGGCTAATATATCAGTAGTTATCAAAACACGACTAGATCCAGACCTAAATTCGCGCATGATAATATCTCTTTCCTTTTGATCCATATCTCCATGCTATGTATAAAAATATTTAAAATAAGAAATACATTCTATGACAAAAACAGTGTTATAAAAGAGTAAAAGTACCTTTAATGATAACATCAATAAAGCAAATTTTGAAATTATTTAATGTACATGTACAGTTAGTATCATAAACAAAATACCATTACATTTTGCTAATCTAACTTTACCAAGCCATGAATCTATAGCATAATTCTAAACTTATGCTGACTGTGACTCAATGTGTCTAAAGCATGCTGACAGAATGATTTTACAACTTTCAAATGATACCAATTACATAAAAATATACGATATGGTTACATTTAATAATTACCAAAAGTATATACAACTTTTTGAATTTCACTTTTCTTATTAAGTAAAGTAATGTTCACCTCCTCACCAATATGTGAAATAATAAAACTATTATGATCTTACTTTATATAGGGCCATTAAATGAATACTCTTATATAAACATATTTAGATAAATTGGCCAAACCACTTAAAATACAGAAAAAAATAATAATAATAAAAAAACTTTGCAAAGACAGTGACCATACAAATTAACTAATTTCATACATGTGACTGTGGAATACGAAAAACTTACTTCTACTTACGAAACTATTCCTGAAGCAGCAATTTTTATATACACAGAAGATGTAGCAAAATATTATAGTAAGAATTTGGAGCAGCATATAAAAACAATAAGCAATCTTAATACACGCATTCAAAAATTGAAAATTAATTTTAAATTTTATATCCTTTAAACAGAATTAATAAGTATTAAAGGTCTTAATACTGTCTTCCAAGGTATATAAAAAATCTGAATGAAAATTTTAGAACTGCTTATTTCTATATACAATCCAAATGAATAAATTTCGGCATCCAAAACAAAAATACTTTTTGGCAGCATTAATCTCCCTCTTCATATTTAATGCGCGATCTCGCGCGCTGGGTCTAACGGACCCACCTGACTCAAGAAACCTTTCTGAAAAGGTACCAATTTTCCCCAAGTGGTTGTGGTTCAGTGTAGTCTCCTCGAAGGCCACCCTCTTATGTTTCCGAAGTTTCGTTTTAATCGGATTGGTCTTTCACACCTAGCACACCTATTTGTATTGCTGTAGCGTAGTTTCATTTGTGGTAGCACGGAAAACTGCAAACATAAATAAATAAATGTTGCACAATTTATCCTATAACGAAGAAATATGTTTGCAAAAATTATTTGATGTATCAACTGTTGAAGACTTCATTGAAGAAAGTGATGATGTAGGTTATAATGAATTTTTTAGTTCTCATGATACTGACTCAGAAATCGAGATGCATTCTGAAAACAAAAATGAGAATAACATTTATTGCTTTATTGAAAAAGATAAAAAACCTAAACCTGATGTTAGAACTCCTACGCGTAATATTACTAAATTGTCCGGAAACATCGGTAAGGCAAAATATATGTAGACTCCAAATGAATCGTGGGAACTTTTACTAAGTTAACAAATGTTGCTGAAAGTTGTCAGTTAAAAAAGTAAAAGAGAGAGAGAAATGCTCGTCACACAACACAATTGAAATTCATGCTTTATTTTTGTGACATAAGTCATCTCATGTAACTGTGTGGGATCTGTGGGAAACAGATGGAGCCGGCTTGGAAATTTGTCGACAAAACTATGTCCTACAAGCGCTTTCTTTTTTTTTATAAAGATGTTTGCATTTTGATGACATAGGAACTTGCGTCGTCAATAAAGAATCAGATAAACTTTCACCTATAAGAGATTTTTTGAAGATTTTTGTGAATAACTGCCATATAACAAATTTGAAGCTTTCCGTGGAAGTTCTTTCAAGCAGTATATTCCTGATAAACCTCAATTTTAATAATAATTTATAATTTCTGAATAATAATATAATGAATTCCTAATAAATTTAATTTTTTTATTCCTTTAAAATATTTTATTTCATAAAAAATATTATGGAAATTAAAATTAATTTTTATAGTTTGCATATTTTTTTTAAGTTTGAGCATCAAATTTTGTCATAAATGTAGCACTTTAACCTGAAGAGTAACAGTTTTTCTTCAAAAAGCGCGAGCTAGGTCTTTTGGACCCAAGGCGGCGTGCTCCCGGGTTAATAAAACCAGACTCCTGCGTATGTTTTTCATTTTAACACTGCACCTGTATTTTATCACTTGGTCTGCTTACTTTCCATTTCAGAAAAAATATTGCAATTTATGATTATGGTATGAAAGTTAAACAATACAGAAATGATGGTATTTCAAACAATAAAAATAAGTACTTTTTATGAAAACATTAATATAACAGTAAGCACTGAAACATGCTACTAAAAAAAGAATTTTACTTTTCAATATATCTGCAAAATGTTTTATAAAACTCCACCATTAAACCTTCCCTTGGGATAGTAAAATTAACACTGCATGCAACTGACAAAGTATTTTTTGTGGCAATATCTTAATACATTTTGAATGAGCACTTCAAGAAAAACTGACAGCATTTCAGTTTCCTCCTAAGCAATTAAGTAAATGTTTCAATATTCTTCCCTAATTACATTATATTAATTATTAAATCTTTTGATATACTTACTAAAGCAGACACAGTAAAATCCTTGCTACGCATTTTATCAGTCAACCAGTCAACTTTCCTTCTAGTATTACAGAAAATAACAGCCTGAGTAATTGTGAGAGTTTCATATAAGTCACAAAGTGTGTCAAGCTTCCATTCCTGCATAATTTAAAGGGAAGCATTAATGTAACTTTCAATAATATAATGAAAAACTGAAAATGAGAACTACTAACAAAGAAGGTAACAGGTCTAGTTTGAAGTGGTCTCAACCATCAGTTGCAAGTCGGTTAAATACCTCTTTATTGCTTGCATTTTATTCAATTTATAAAATGTCACCAGCATTATGTAAAAACTGTATGATGTAAATTAAATTGGAATTGATGCAGTTTAGAAAGATTTATTAGGAGCAGTTACTAATTTGGGGACAATAAGGGGGAAATTGCAAATTTAAGTTAGAATTTTTATTTACATATTATCTTAATAAATATGTAAAATAAAAATATATTAAAAATGTGGCTGCATGCCACCAGTTTGAGACCACTGATCTAAAACCATAAGCTTGAATTTAGATAGTACTAAAGCATACATAACACAATATCTTGAATTTTTTTAACATATACTAATATTTAAAAAATTGATTTCTATATATTTCCAAACGAAGTCTTCTTGAGTGTCATTCAGATTACAATATCAGAAAATATTAATTTTTTAAAAAATATTTACCTCTCTATCTACTGCAATATAAAATTGCTTGATACCCTCTAAAGTAAGCTCTTCTTTCTTGACTAAAATACGAACTGGATCTCGCATAAACTGTTTTGTAACATCCAGAACATCAGCTGGCATTGTAGCTGATAATAAGATAACCTAAAACAAATTAAGAAAATTAATACATGCTTACCAGACTAAGAAAATATAAAATTTTATTTCCAGTGCCTAAAAATGGATCTCCATAACTTAAAATTAACATACTTATTTTTTAACCCATAGTTACATAAACATATAATTAATTATTCATAATCTGACATCTGCATATCAAAATTTACTTATCAATTTTTTCTGTAATGTCTTTATATACAAGGATATTGCAGAAATAATCAACTGTTAATATCCATGTTCAAGATTTAGAATGAAAAACTAGTAGAATATTACAAACATACATAAAAAGAGAGAAAAAATTAATACAATATGAAGTACATGAAAAAATCTTAATCTTCAAATCAACAGTTAAACACAACAAACAAAATTTTGAAGCTACAGAGGTCAGGGAAGATAGAAAAAAAAGTTTCATACCTAATATACAAATTAAATACTTATATCAGCACTAAATGAAGTTAGATAATTAATATTTCCAGTGATCTAACTGTAAAATCTATTTTTTACTGATACTATACCAAGTGCATTTCCTCCCATAAAGTAACTTCTTGAAGTCATACTTTTTTAACCCTTTTTTAATTTAGTAATTTAGAACATTTATTTCAAAATCTACAGAAACTTAAAACATATTATCATCAAATTTCCTTCACTATACATATTTGGCTATGCATCATGAGCTTGGCGGTAAACAACAAGTTGTTCCGTTAAATTTTATCTTGCTTCTATTGCGCAATGAGAGAATTAAGCCTGAATTGTATTAGTTATTTATTATACTTATGTCTATTTCTTGCACATGCTTAACCTTCTAAAACCAGGCCGAAATTATCACAATATAGCCTTCAGAAAGGCACGATCCAAAATAACTTTTAACCCCTCTGACATTTTCCTAATGAAAAAAGTCGTTACTCCCCTCCAATTTTGCTGCAGCAAAATTTACATGTTTGTCGGACACTGTTCCATAATAGATGGGTTGCTAGATTTGCGATTTTTTCGATGATTATTTTGCTTTCATTTAAATGAAGTTCTATTTAGAACATGTCGTATGCAATGTTTATATTTCATTTACTATTTCTGATCAATCTCGGCACTAATTTGTGAATTTTAGAACTTTGTTTTCACACTTTTTATATTCGCATATTTTCGAAATGAAAACAAAATTTTACAAAATATAATAAATATGAACTAGCTTTGGAAGTCTGTAGGTTGGAATGCGATTTTCAATAACATAATTTCATTAACAAAATAATGGTAATGACTAATTTAATGAAATAATAGTAAATTCATTAATAATATCTATTTTTATTAAATGATTAGAATGAGATTCAATACAATTAGATTTTGAGATGAACTTAACAGCAATAATAAAGCTTTACATAACATAACAGAGCTTTAAATCTGCTTTTTTTCCCAATAACTTTGTCATTATAATAAAAAAAGAAAATCAGAGATACATTAGTTGCGTTTCATCATTTAACACTAACGAATATTACATTGGGCTATCATCAGGCAAAGGAGGTACAGTCAAAAGTTATTAATTCGGACACCCATAATCCGGAATGATCTATAATCCGGACCTCAAAAGCTACAAACTTTCTGCGCATGCGTCGCGTTGACGCATGCGCGTAAGACCTTTACCGCTGCGAATTTGCGTGCGCAAAATACGTTTACGAATGCGCGTTTAATGTATAACGGACGGGATAAGCTAAGCTAAAATTATCTATCTATTTCAGTTAATGTTGCAGATTGCGTTGTTCCTTAATCTTCGAGTTGGATCCGGATTATTATTTTTTGCAGACTGTTAGAGCAATTTTATAAAAGTAAGCTTGAACTTTCGATTATGTCAAATAGAATTTCCGATATATATTTACTAATATGTAAAGGATATACGAAGCGAAAGTATCTTTCAGAGTCCATTAAACAAAAAATGGATAAAGGCATATTCTTTGTTTATCTAAACTTTGTTTATCTTTAACGCAGCGAGGGCTTGCAATGAATTGGAAGTTGATTTGTCAGCACTATCCTTATCTTAAGGGCAGATGTTTTTATTTTATTTGGCTTATAATTGCTTACTCAATGTAGTATTTCATCTCGATGTACTCCGTCTTTGATATGATTTAAATCAAATGCCACGTCATTATAATTCGCTTCCGATAGCGAAGAAAGTGACATAGGTTATTGAAAACGAAAAAATTTCGATTGACAAATTAGTCGGTATTCTCGACACAGCATTTATAGGACTTGAACAGCGGAACTTTGTAACTGAACAAGAAATTATGTCTTTTTATAGAATTAAAGAGAACGTATTATCACATAAAAAACGAAGCAACTGATACAACTTACATTGAAAGAAATGTTTAATAAAGTAAACAAATAAATATTAAGCTTTTTTTTTGTAAATTTTGATACCCTTTACATCATAATTGTTCTTTATTTCGTAAATTACGGTTTCATATTTTTACTTTTATAATTTCTGCATGCCATTTTTACCAGATTTAAACTGATGATCTGTAATCCGGAATCGCCGAAGTCCCGATGAGTCCGGATTAACGACTTTTGACTGTATATCTTTAACGATAATTTTTCTTTGTAAAATTGGCTTTTGTTTACGTTAGCAGAGAAAAAAAAATCTGTGACCTATACATGCAATCATCAAAAGTATTCACTCATATTAATATTGAAATAATTTAACTTAAATCAAAATTCTGAACATTTTCTAAATTTTCATCACATAACAGTTTTCCCTTAACGTATATTCCAAGCAAAGTAATTTAAGTAAAAAAGAGGAACATTTCTGAAATCACGAGAAGACGGAAATTTGCGTCATGCAGTCATCCTTTAAACAGTAAAAGCTTAATCTAACCCGCATACTTCGGAAAATTGGCGAATATTCCGGACAGCGGAGCGAACTTGGAGAAAGAGGAGCGGAGGGGGATAGACTGTACCCGTTCTTTAGATTTTTCCGCTAAATAAATGATTTTGACATTTCGATATGTGCATCATATAAAAATAAAACCAACGGAACTGAGAAATATTCTGCTTAGAAAGCACAGTAAAACTCTTTAAAGTGTTCATAAATAAATATCAGACTGAACATCAAAATTAAGTATCTCTGCAAAATACCGCAAATGTTATTGCGCAATATGTGCGGCATAATTCTTAACAGCTGCCGGCATTCGGAGAATAAAGAACTAAATAAGGGAAAAGAGACTAATCTGGGGTGTTTTTTATTCTAATTTTGAACAGACTGCGTTAAATTTCCAGAATAGAATCATTCTTTTGCTTGGGTTGGGTAGACCGCACAACTTTTATTCCTATTCAATCCAGATTGGACAGTGACCTCCCCCCCGAAAAAAATTCCGCAGCTTCAAGATTAGAGATTTTGCGGAGAAAGGGGACAACCTCCGTACTGTATAATGTATTGGGGGGGGGGGAATGTGACTCTTCGATTACTTTGTTAATTTAAGCCATTCCGAATATTATTCCTTAGAAAGCTAATCTGTGCAAAAATACACCCATTCTCATCAATAAGGGTTTGAGTACCTGTTTACTTCACTGTGATAAATTATAGCAAAAATATTATATCTAATGTTTCAAATGAGTACCTGTTTACTTCACTGTGATAAATTATATACAGAAAAAGAAAAGTTGGCAAATTTAATTTGCTTTTCAGAATTTAAATCTATACTGGCTAGATCACAGATGCACCTTTTATGTCTCACAGCAATTCCACTGCCAAAACATTTGGCAGTGGAATTGGTGAACCGAGTTGGTGTTGAATTATGTCTTTTCACATTTATTTTCTAAGAAAAATCTAATTTTCTATGAAATTTGGTTCCAACTGTTCTTTCATACAAAATTTGAAACATTAGATATAATATTTTTGCTATGTTTTGATACATTAGATATAATATTTTTGCTATGTTTTGAACTGGTTTTCTGTTTTCAGTAGCAGAAAATAACTCAAAACTTCCCAAATATTCTACCAATCACAAGAAAAAAATTTAATGCTAGTTCAAATAATTTAATTATAGCCTTTTTTGTGAGAGGGGTGTAAGTGTAATTCTAACTTCATGTTTCACAACATATACTACAAGCCTTGCACAAAAAAGTCACAGAGTGAACAAAAAACAATAATTTTCCAATTTTTTCCAATTATGCACTTGGCAGACATTTTCATATCAAACAGCACTAGTTCAAAACTTGCATCATACTGCATTAAAGCTTATGTCTGTAACACATTCACCCAACAATAAAATATACTATTTACAAAATAGTTAACGGCACACTGCACTCATTTAATATGTATTTGATAAGTATCAAACTCTTATGTCTAATTTAAAAGTCTCTAAAGTACTAATCATTACTTATATCAAGTGAGGCTAGTTCACAACACACTGCTGGTTTTATCAAATTACCTTAGGAATGTACCAGTCCAATTAAGATTATGGCAACATTTTACCATATCTTATCCACATGGATTTGATTTACTTTACTTCCACAGCGACGTCCACAACAATAATTTAAACTGATGTGGTGCTTTTAGGAAGACTCAAATCCCTAAAAATTATTTGAAATAATGTTAAGACCCTATATAAAAAACTAACACATTATACAACTGATGTGGTGCTTTTAGGAAGACTCAAATTCCTAAAAATTATTTGGAAAAATGTTAAGACCCTATATAAAAAACTAACACATTATCCAACTGATGTGGTGCTTTTAGGAAGACTCAAATTCCTAAAAATTATTTGGAAAAATGTTAAGACCCATTATCACAAACTAACACATGATCTAAACACATTATACCATATCATGCACTAACACATTATAAAACTGATGAGGTACTTTTAGGAAGTATAAAATTCCTAAAAATTATTTAGAATAACATTAAGACCCAATATCACAAACTAACATATTACATCATCCAAGGTGGACTGGAACATGACATACACTGCCAATTTATTAAGTTAAATACCAATCATTACTTACAT